GTCTTGCTTGCACTGTCTCCTTTCTGTTGTTCTTTAAATAGTGTAGAGCAGGGGTAGGCAACCTTTTTGAGTTGGGGGCTGGTCCTCCGAAGTCCTCCCCTCCGCCGGGCCGAGGGGGGGGGAATGGCGGCATGTGCGCTCACGCACATGTGTAACCCCCCTGTGTGCCCTGATGTCGCGGCGGCACGCGCGGCCGCCGCCACCTCTGTGCATGTTGCGGCCGCCATTTTGATTTCCAAAATGGCAGTCATGACGCATTTGCATATGTGCAGGAGTACTGCGCATGCGCAAATGAGCTGCGGCTGCCATTTTGGAAATCAAAATGGTGGTTGCGGCATGCATGGCCACACGGCGGCCAAAAGGCACGGCGGTGGTGGCACGCAGCGGCGGTGGTGGCAGGGGTCCGCCTGGTCCGGTAAGCACGGGGCCCTGGTCCGGAACTGGCCCAGGGGTCGTAGGTTGCCGGCCCCTGGTGTAGAGTAATATTTCTCAAATATTTTTTGGATTTTTTTGGATTTGTAACTTTTCTTTTCCCTTCATTTATTTCTAGAATCGTTCTTTTTTTCTTTCATCATTCTTAGCTTATATGCAAGTAACTTCCCTGTTCTATTTCCATGTTCAAAATGTCTCTTCTTGTGAATTTTATCTTTTTTTCTACTTCTGCTGCAAAAGTTGACACCTGTTTCTGTAACAATTTGATCTTATTGTGTATTTCCTTTTTCCTTGGATCTCGGGCTAACTCCTGTTCCTTGGTTCTTATTTGCTGCATTATTTTTTCCCTATTTTTAGATTTCTTCTTCTTTTCCATTCAGAATTTTTCTGGATGAAGAAATCTTGCATCACAGCCTTGCTGGCTTCCCACATGTTTTTTAATTCAGTTCCCTTATTGAGGTTTTCTTGAAAATACAGTTTAAGGTTTTCTTTAGTTTGTTTTATTTTGGTTTCATCTTTCAATAGGAATTCATTCAGTCTCCAAGAAATTTCTTTCTTCCTTTTCTTCAGTTGCATCAATATTGCATTATGATCAGATATTTTCTTCATTAATATAGCTGTTCTTGTGATTTCTTTGTGTAGTTCTCTTGATGTCAGAAACATGTCAATTCTTGATGCTGATTTGTTGGGTTCAGGGTAATATGTATATTGTTTGGTATGTTTATTCTCAAAATGCCATGGATCAATTAATGATAACACTGTATTTCCAACATATTGAAAAATGTTAATGAGAGTTTACCCTGATTTTCTTTAGTGTCTTTCTTTGGGAAAGTTCTGTCAATTACTGGGTCCATTACTCCATTCCAGTCCCCCATTAGTATGATTCACATTCACAGTTCAGTCAGTGCTTAACCTTCTCCTCAAATCATCCCAACTATTCTTGTGGCATAAGCAGCTGTTTCTTCATATCCCTTCAATTTTATCAATCTGAAAGTTCGGAAACTACAGTTAGTTCAAAACATGGCAGCCAGGCTTTTATCA